GTCTTTGATCCATTTGGAATTGACTTTTGTGCAGGGTGAAAGATAGGGGTTTAGTTTCATTCTTCTACAGGTGGAGATCCAGTTTTGCCAGCACCATTTGCTGAACATGCTGTCTTTCCTCCAGTGAATGTTCTTGGCCCCTTCGTCAAATATCAGGTGGCTGAAATTTCATTTACTCGTATTTGGTCTTCAATTTTGTTCTATATGTTCTCCCTCATATGTGGCTCCTAGAACCAAACCTTGATAAGTGAGTATGTATCCAGATATAACTACAGGAACCAGGATACTAGAAAGGAAACATGGAGGTGAAGGAAAAGAAAGAACCTTAAAGAGGAGAACAGTAGGAAACAGGCCTTAATAAGGGAGATATGGATAAAAATTGGGCTAGTTTAAAGGAGGGGGTGTGGGAAGTGTATACAAGGAACCTAGGGGATAAAGGGAAAGAAGGAGCACAAGGGAGGTAGTACCATAGGAGAAGGGTATTATTAAGGGAGAAAGGGGGGAAATGGGGACACCTCAAGTGGGAAAACCATGATGGAGGGGTGAGACAATGTGAGAGATAAATAATGCCTAGCTATTTTGAAAACCAGAGGGAACCATATTACTCCTACAACCTACTGACAAATTATGCATAACAGATCAAGAAATATATGTCTAGGTAAGGTTTATCTGAGAACAGTTGGTCTTTGCCCAAGATTTTTCTACATGACACACAGTAATTAAAAGTACCAGACTGGCGGAGCTAACCTTCTTGGATGTTTAGCAGACATACTTTGAGGCCCATAATAACTTGGTCAGAGGGACATAAAGGACAGTTTTTGCTCCTTGCCCTCCTAGTTCCAGGGAACTGTGAGCATCTCTCAAAATGTCCTGTAATTATGGTAAGTCACCTGTCCTCTTGATCAAGGAGGCTGAGGAGACCCCACCAGATGGACATGAACCAGTGTCCAATCTACAAAGAGAGGGGCCAACACAGAGGAATCATTTCCTCCATGCTTCCAAGCGAAGGCAACCATGGTCAAGCAGGACCTTTGACTTATCTTCACATAGGTGGAACTGGTAAAAGAAAGGAGCCAGGGGCTCCTCCCAAGCCCATGTGACCCCTGAGGAACAGATCCTCAAACGACCTTAAGAGTAAAAATAAATCGGTTTTATCTGGCCCAACTGTAAGGTCTTAAACACTCAAAAGGAAAGTATAACCAAAGATTAAAGGTATCAATCTAATTCTTTAAGAGTCCATGCGTATAGCTAAGAGCTACATAACAAGAAACAATGCCAGACAGGAGATGCATTCCTTTGAGTTGTTGGCCAGGGTAGTCTAAGAGACTCCCAGAGAGTAACCCAGCATAGAAGTGGAAAAATGAACAGCAGACCCCAATCTTATCTAAAGGAATATTGAAAACTGATTGCTGCTAGGTGAGGAACAGCTGACCTTCCTAAAACAAGGAACTCTAGATAGGCTGACTAGATGTAGCAGATGGACAAGCACTGGAGAATGGCTGGGGTTGCCGATAACACAGTGGACAGTAATAGGAATGACAGAGTATATGGGTTCTGGGGGAGGCTATGGGAAGGTGCCATTTGGGGTATGGGTATATAGATGAATAAGATTGTTTGGTATGTTCTGTATGAAATACACACAAAATAATCAACAAATTTAAAAAAAAGTTATATTTGAGGAAGAAGCATAAAAATTTATTCCATGTTAATTAGTAGAGGTGAAACACATTACCATTGAAAAAATGATTTTATATCCATGCTCAGGTGGAGCTCAGAAAGTAATTGACAGTGACTAGTAATAAGCAGATGCATAGAGATTAGCAATGCATGTGCAAACATCTAAGTGTTAGTAGCATTAAAACTGAGGTTTTTTTTATTGAACAGTTTATTTTAAAATGAAAGGGAGATCTTTTTAAAAGCTTAAAACCTCATTCAATTTTATGTCTTATAGGGTTTATACTGAGGTCATTATTGTAAAACTGTATTAATTCAACTGTGAACCTGAAAATTCATAGCCATTATTGAAAGAGATGCATCTTTGCTCTGGAAATTGTTATTGAATATGTTATTGCTGTAATGTGATGCTTCTTCTAATCATGTGGTTATTAAATAAATAATTTGTAAAGAAATGTATGTGTTGGATGCAAGGCAAAATATGAACCTAGTAGAGGTACCAGCCTTCATTCATCCTATGACTTCCACAAGCTTGTGCTAGTCATTATGCCAAAAATAAAAAACAAGCAAGGCAGGTATTAGAACTATAGATCCATTTCAAATACAAAATCTCAGTGATCAAAGCCCCCAACAAGCCCTTTATGCAAACGTCACTTTTGTCAGCACCATCACCAGTACCCTTTCTCCTAGGTGACACTGGCAATTCAGTGTCACATTATGGCTTTCTTTTCCTTTCCAAACAGTATCTGATAGTGTCTGCAGACCCACCTCTGTCTCCGGCTTCTCTCTTTGGGGTGCAGCAGTCAGTCCTTACACATAGGGGTTTCTGAAAACTAGCTGCTTTCACTGCCAGTGCATAAAATGCATCTTAATGATTTAGCATCTGCCAAAAGCTACAGCTACCCTAAATTCTGTCAGGGATACTGGTCCCAACAAGATATGCTTTATAAAAGTACTAAATTAGTACCAGAATCTGGTGTAAAAAATGGCAGTGAATTTGTGACATTTTAAACTTAGTGGAGGGCATGGAAAGATGGCCCAGCAACTGAGTGTATACTGCTGTTGCAGGGGCCTGGAGTTCACTTCCTAGTACCTATGTCAAGTGTTTCACTATAACTCTAGTTCCAGGGGATCCAGCGCCCTCTACCGGTCTCTGTGGACACAGCACTCACATGCACAGACACATGCACATATACACATAATTAAAAGTTAAAAAATAAATAAAAATTTAAATTTGATAGAGATCTTAATACACAATATAAATTGTTTTTCTGATTAACAGGAAATAAACCATAAAATCTTCCCCTTGACACTCAGTACCAATGGTACTTTACTAAGATGGGCTCTGCCTCCCACCAGAATATATGTCACTACTAGAAGGCCTGAACTTTTTCGAGACCAGTTTGGTTATCTGAGAAAGTGGTTCAGACAAAGCAAAAACTATGGCTTCCAAGGTAGTTATCAAGAAAAAGCATAGGGTTTTTCCTTCAAAAGAAAATTCTTCTAAACAGTCCACATATATTAATATTTTTTTCTTAAATTCAGAACTCAATGAAATATTAACTCTTTATGTAGGGATGGGGAGGCATTGTGAAATCCACAAAGTGACATTATACAACTGCATTCTGCCAGAGACTCCCCACAGCACCCTGTGAAGTCATTAATAGCCCAGTTTATGGTAAAGGAACTTTAGCTTTATCTGAAAAGCTTACTTCAACTCACATTCATAGGCAGAGGAGCCAGGAAGTTCACTAAATTAAGTGGTCTGCTCTGGGATTTATTCTTGGATTTAGGTGTCTCCAATTTCAACATGGCCCTCATTCATAAATCTCTGTTTAATTGAATTTCTGACAATCAAAACCAAGTAAATAATAATGATATCGCATCCAAACTTTTGTTTTGAAATGAGGAAAAGCAGTAGAAATTAGAGAAAGTGGTTCTAGTAAAAGAATTTTTTAATTTGGGGAGAAACTTGAGCCTCACATCTTCTCCTAAAGTCCTGTAGCCTGTTAAATTCTGTAACCTGGTTCTGTGTTTTATATGAGGGTATAAGAGTGGTATTGGGTGCCTTCTGTAGGCTGATCCATATGTGCGACATATGACAAAGTGCAAGAGACGAATAACAGTCCCCACCAGTGCAGCCTGCAACCGAGAAGTCACAGGATTGATTGAGGTGGTAAATGGAGAGATAGCAGCTGTCCAGAAATGCATGTGCTGTTGTGTCTTTTGGGAACTGACACAACAATGGTGCAGGTCAGAAAACGGCCCTAAAGAAGGCTGGGAATCTGGTGATTCCAGGCAGTTGGAGACGCATGTTTGGCAACTCTGAAAGATACAAAGTTGCATGTTATGGATGCATAATATGATCTCATCTGAAGTGGGAGAGAGAGGCCTAACCCATAGAATGCTGTAAGTTCAAGACGCTTACCTTTATTACACTGGCTTGGAAAGCCACAGGGAGGTTTTATGCAGGACAGTAGCAGGTGTCTGTCAGCTTGGTGGGGTGATCACTTAAGTTGCTGCTGCGGGAGACAAGGATGGAAATGTTGCTGACTTGGAGAGGGGAGCAGCAAAGAGTGGATTTAGGAAATGTTTCGGTCTAGGAGGATAGATCAATGTATAAAAGTGCTTGCTGCCTAAGCAGTTCAAGACCCCAAGTACAATTCACAGAACCCTCATAAACAGCCAGATGCAGTGGCCACATCTGTCATGCCAAGACTTGTACTGCCAGAGGATGGCAGAGGCAGAAGGGGGAGGCTCATTGCCAGCTAGCCGGAGTATGCAGGGCAGCAGGAGAGGCAAGAGAGACCCTGCTTCAGCAAGGCCGAGGGTGAGAACCAACTCCAAAAGCTGTCCTCTGACCTCTACATGTATGTTATGGCATGTGATTGCCACAAATACCTGAATGGGTGAATGCTTTTTTTTCTTATTCTTTTTAAAAAGAATATTTCTTTTATATTCGAAATATGCTTGGCAAACATGGTGATAGGTTAAATGTGACTAGAGACAATGGTTTAGGAGAAAGCTCCCAGATTCTGTAACTTCACACTTTGCCTATAAATGTTTGAAATCTGTAAATATCTGTAAGTTCCCAATTTTTTTCCATAATGGCTCCAGTCAAAGCATATGAGTCAACTGTGTTTGGGGGCATTTTTGAATAACAATGTCATTTTCATTTTTAATTTTCTCCCCTTGGGAATGAAAAAGGACAACTCACTGTGAGAGAACCTAAATTCCTTGATTTTGAAGTGAGGAATGAAGTGCAACTCATTGTTTTTGCTGAGATCGGTGGGTACAGAGCCTACAGCAAAGTGGAAGTTTCCATAGAGGATGTGAATGATAATTCTCCACGCTTTGAGCAAAGTGTTTACTGGGCATCTGTGACTGAAGGCCAACCCTGCAGTGCTCATGTCACACAGGTAACAGAATGTGTGTTTGTGTGTGGGGTGTGTGTGTGTGTGTGTGTGTGTGTATCATATCAATCAATATATATGTCAGCATGTTCAATGCTTAATGAGTTGAACAAAACTTTAGGTTGAAGGAAATCTAAAATTTCTGCATTCACTCTTCATTCATTCAGTGCTCAGTTCCTGGCCACCTGCTTTCTCTAAGGACTCTGTGAACATTAACAAAAACTACGAGACACACAAAACATGACTAGCTTTAAAAATACATATAGTTTACCTGGAGACTAGAAATAAAAATATAAAATTCAATGTCATATAGCTGATGTTTTTCCTCATTTTTCATACTGTTAAAAAAAAAAAAAAAAAAAAAAAAAAAAAAAAACACTGACCAAAATCAGCTTAGGGAGGAAAGCGTTTATTTGGCTCACAGCCCACAGTTCATCATCAAGGGAAGCCAAGGCAGGAACTCAGAGAACAGACCATGGAGGTATGTTGTGGTCCTTACTAGCTTGCTCCTCTGGTCCAGGCCCAGCCTTCTTTCTTATATAACACAGGACCACCTGCCCAGAGGTGGCACCACCACATTAGACTAGGTCCCCTCGCATCACTCAATAATCAAGAAAATGCCCCAGAAGCATGGCCACAGGACAATCCAATGGAAGAAATTCCTCAGTTGAGGTTCCCTTTACCTCGGTGTGTGAAGCTGACAACTGAAGCTGTCCAGCACAATGTTATAACAGGAGCGTGCGTTTAGTGTCATGAGAGAGGAAACGCATCCCTCTTCCTGGAAGAAAAGGGCCATACTCTACAGAATGGTGTTTGCTCTGGGCCTTAAAGGGTGAGCAGGCACAGAACCACCATTGTCAGAACTAGTCTCATTCTGGTGACAAGCTCCATGCCTTGAATAAGAGAATGAATTCACGAGACAGTTATGTTTAACCTTGAATACGCACCCTTCGTGGTCGTTTCTTAACCTGCTTTATAGCTAGTGACCCAAACTGCCTTTTCCCTTCACCGTCAAACTGAGCCTTTGAAGTCATGAAGATGGGTATCAGAAGGCCCAAAATAGCCTGCGCATCTACAAATGAAGTCCTGGCAATGTTAGCTATGAGGTGGGATATTCCCTTTGCATTCACAATGCTGCTGCTGCTGCTGCTGCTGCTGTCATCCAGCCTCATCATTAGTATATCTTGGGGTTTTCTTTCTAGACTAGGTAGGGCCAGGCATTTGCCTAATGTGCTAGTGTATATTCTGAAGTAGATGGCCAGCTGTTCTTTCTTGTGCAGTGTTTTCATCTGAATACGTAGGAAGATGTTTTCGCTTTGAGTCCAGATCCTGTTGCACATGATCACCTCTGGTCTTTCTGAGACAGGGTCTCCCTGTAACCCCAGCTGGCCTGGAACTCACTATGTAAACCAGGCTGGCTTTGGATTCACAGAGATCTCCTGCTTCTGCCTCCCCTGTGCTGGGATTAAAGGAGTCATCCGGCGCAGTCAAGCTGTTTTCTAAATATCAGCTCTGTGCTCTTCATTCCCAAGCACCAGCACGATATCCAGGGTCATGTCAGCTGCTATTGCAGATTCACTTAGCATTGCAGCAGCCGAGCTGCTCCAGTTGCTCCAGTGAAGAAGTGCTGTGCCTTTGCTCTGACTTCAGCAGACTGAGATGTCTAAGAAGGTGAGGAAACCCATTTCTGGTGTCTAGCATCACTGCCCAGAACTGTTGTTGGGTGGGATGGCAGGTGCTTCCAGTGCCACTCAGTCACAGGATGATCTGGCCCTGGACCCTGCAACATTGCACTTTTCTGTTGCACATGCTAACCTGGGACAGCCAGATGGATGAGTATGGAATTGATATAAATGACAACACCTTCAGAGCCTAGATACACAAAATGGAGACAGCCTGGCCCAGTAGACTTCTAGAAGGTAGAATCAGGGACAAAAATAAACAAATTTCATCCTTTCAATTTTCATATAATTCGGTTCCCAGGAAGCGAGTACTTCCATTTCAGAAGGCTAGAGATGTGAACGGGTCAGGAGTTTACACTACCTAGGTGACTCTTTCTGATTTTTTTTTTTTGCCTTTTTATTTTTGTGGGTGTTTTATTTATTTGTTTTTTGGCACTACAGTATGCATACACTCTTGTTTTGCTTATAGCCCCACAAATTTCCTTGAAGAACCTGGCCCTCCTCTGAGAGATGCAGAATTGACAAGGTTGTTGACATATTGACTTACCTCTCTCAGTTGCCCAACCAAAGGTATTGGGTCAGTGATTGCCCACCCTTTAAGATCCAGGGCTAATACCATTCAGGGGAGCACTGAATTTTTCTTCCAGAAAGAGATGTGTGTCTCCCTTCTCTCTCATGACATTCAATGTGCACTCCTATTAAAATATCAACTATATGACATTTAATTTTATACTTACATTCCAACTTCCAGCTAAACTACACACAATTTTAGGGCTCTGTATCTTACAGCCTTTGCTAATGTTTGGAGTCCCTAAAGACAGCAGGTATCCAGGAGCCAAATACAGAAAGAAGAAAGAGGAGCAAATGCAGAAATCTCAGATTCATTTCAATCAAAAGTCGAGTCCACTCCATCACACAATGGCCTCTGTCTGAAACATACCATCTTTCCCTGGAAGTTTAATTTCAGGTAAAGAGAGAGACCAAGTGGAGCTCATTCACCTTGATGGTGAGAGCTCAAGCTGTGGCCCCCCAGAGTTTCTCCTATTCTTGTGTTTACCCAGGCACCATCACTCTGACATATTTCTTTCTGGGTGAAGTTACCTTAGTGGACATGCATTGCAAGCACACTAAAGTGCTAATCCCCACCCAAGGAAGCCCATTCTCTGTAATAAGTTCAAGTATACAGTCCCAGGGCATGGTGGACTTCATTTGTCCCCACTTAGAAACTAGTTGCTCTTTCTGGTGATCCCAAAAGATGCTACTGCTGTCTTTCTCTAACTGTAGCTGACTGGCATGCTCTCTTGGTGAGGTCCTACATGCTCCCTGTGGTCTTCAGTATTTCCTAAGAGCTCTGCGTCAGTGTGAAGGATGGATTGAGAAGGAAGGCATTAGAAACATATCCATTAGGGCATCAGCACAGGAGTCCAGCAGATGATGAGGAACATGAGCATGCCAGACTCACAGAAGATATAAAAAATGGGATTTAAAACAGTTTCATAATTCTGCAACTTGTCAAACAAAATCTTTACTCCAATGATATAAGTGGTTTAGTGACAATTTTAATGCAAAAAAGCCCTTCAACCTTCATGAGAATGATATAAAACTTTTCTTCTGTCCTCAGTACTACTTTGATAATTTATTAAATAAATGCTTAGGAGCTAAATTTATTAGCACTAAGTCTAGGCGTTTACTCACTTCGTAAAGGTCTCCTTCAGGGTCAACCTATTATGGTAGAAATGCCTTTGATCCCATCATTTGGGAGGCAGAGGCAGGTGAATCTGTGAGATTGAGACCACAGTGGTCTATACGGTGAGTTCCAGGCAAACTGCGGCTACGTGAAGACCCTGTCTCAAACACCAAAACCAACCAACCAAAGAAAGGTCCCCTTGACTTAAAACTTTAATGTAGTATTTTTAAAAACCCCACACTGGCCTATTTTATAGGCATTACTTTAGGCAGGTAAGAAAGGGAGAATAAGGGGTTGAAGGATTGCTCAGTGGGTGAAGCACTTGCTGTGGAAGTGTGAGGATTTGAGGCCAGATCCTCAATACCTACACAAAAGTCCAGTGGATATGTCAGCCTGCCTAGAATCCCAGCTTTGGGGAGGTGGAAACAGGGGACTCCTGGGGGCAAATTGGCCAGACTGGCTAGTTGAATTGGGGATCAGGAAGCGACCCTGCCTCAATAAATAATTCAGAGACATTTGAGGGAGACACCCAGTGTCGATATATGTGCAGACACACATACACACATCACACACACATGCACATGCAAAAAGAAGAAAGAAAAGACAAATGAAAAATTGCCATTCAAAATATGAAATTTCCCTATAACATTCATTTCGTTTTCAGGAGCAGCATGAATCCATAGACAGAACTAGAAATCTAATCAATCAAGCTAGATATTTTCAGTAATTTTGCTTGTTGCACAGAATTATAGCTCAAAATATGTGAGTGCTATCTGGAAATTCTTTAGATGAACATGAAGAGAATTTCCCTTCATCCAATTTATTATAAAGTCAAATGTAAGCATCAGGTGCATGTGGGTATCATTCCAAGTATTCTTTTAATGCATTTGATAATTTGCAATTTTTTTGTACCATATTTCTCTGAAAAGCAAGCTAAGCTCATATTTTAGGTTGAATCTTTTCAAATGGAAGAGTTGGTTTCTCACAGGTTTTTGCCACCGACTTGGATGGGGGGTTGAACGGCCTGATCCAGTATTCCATTGTCTCTGGCAACCAAGGAGAAGTCTTCCAGATTGACTCACAGAGTGGTGTGGTAACAACATCTGCCATCCTGGACTACGAGTCCACCATCTCCTACAGGTGTGTTCAAGTTCACAGCCATTAGAGCAACTGTTCTTCCTGTTTACTTCTAACACCATTGCTATGGCTCAGCTTCCTATGCAAGCTGAGAGGTAAACTGTGCTTTTGCCTTTGGATCAGCTTATGATCACCCTTAGGACACATTAAAATAGTCCTAGAAATTATTTCCTGTTCGGAAAGTGATTTGGATTGGTTCTAAACTTTGGGATGCTGTTAAATACCAAATGAGAGACATTTAAAATACAATGCTTGTGAAAGGTTTATTGAGCTACAGTGTCCTCTGTGTGGTGTTACTGTTTCTATAAAACAAATAAAGATCGAATGACATTTTTCAAAATCTTTATTCTTTTGTGTATGAAAGTACAGCCCTGTTATCAGGGTTCTTACTGTGGTACTATGTTCTAGCAGAAATGATCTTATTAAAAGCACATGTTCAACATTCAAAATTTTTGCTTTGAATCCAAGGGATGCCCAGGCATGCCAGCCTTCTATGAGGGAGAGACTAGTAGTGTTACAAGTCTTGTAAGTATTTTAAGGAGTCCATGTTACAGAAGTCTAGACTTACATGTGCAGGTATTTGTGGAAATTCACTCTGTTAAAAATAAAGGATTCTAAGAAACCTAAAATGGTCACAAGTGGTTACTCCTTGAAGAATGATGGCACAGTTCTTCCCTAGAAAACCATGAGGCTGATCTTTAAAAACAAAGGGTCTATTTGTGTTTCCTGATAGGCTAGTTGTCTAGAACATGTGACTATGTTAAGGGTAGTCAGAGTCAGTGTCCATGTTTCCAGGTTCTTGGCCTCTTATTTAAGGAATTGAAATACAAACCCACTTAGATTTGCAAAAGTACCAAGGAAACTAAAGTAAAGTGATAGCAAAGGGCAGAATACATGGCAAGAGAACAGAAACCCATGTGTGTCAAGGTCCACAAAGGCCCTGATTATTACTTGGGATTTCTTTTCATGAGGTTCAGAGAGGGAAGTTTTTGGTTACTAAGGGGGCATAGTGAGAATGGCTCTCTGTTTTGATTGATAGATTAGGTCATATGAACATTTTTCTGTAATGCATGTATGTATGTCCCTTCCCATAAGGCATCTGATTTTAATCATATGCACACCCAATTATGCATAGATATAAGATTAAGTAAATAAGAGATTCTCCCTACAAGTTAATGTGAAGGCAGTTTTGTCTTACTGTGCATATACCAAAAGCTAATTCAGGCTGAATTGGCCCTTCCAGTCTTTATACCCGAATACATAGGGAATATATTTGAATAGCAACTGTCCAAGTCTGATTGTTGAAAAGGAAGAGGAAGTTTACCCCACCATCTAAGGAGGAGAATATATGTAACCTAACCCAGGAGGGGGTCTGAAGTTATTAGCTGTATTGTTTAGAGAGGGGTGTGTGTGTGCATAGTACACGTAGGTAAAGGAGGGAGACTGCCAAGTGCATTGCTCAAAGAGCAGTTATACGCATAACCCAAACCAAGTATAGTCCAGAGTACTAAACTGTTCCTTGTGTTTGTTTGTCTCAACTACATGGAATAAATAACGAAGAACATCACAGTGTTTATACATCATGGGCCTCTAAGAAAAGGGGCATTCTTTTGCTTAAAATACTTCTCAGAGAACTGTTAGCCCTGATTGTCTTTGGAGAAAGAGTAGGACAGCCTGTGGTAAAAAGAAGGTTTGGCTTTCTTATTGCCTATTTCAGTTCAATTTATATTCACACTGTATTTTATGTTTTTCCAAAAAGCCTTTCACATGTGTTACAGTAGTCTCCATCACCCATGGGATGTGTTCTAAGACTCCCAGTGAAGACCTGAAACTTTGTACTGAGCCCTATATGTGTTGTGATTTTTCCTAAATGCCCTGTAGTATGGCTAGAGTTAATCTCTCTTTCCATGTTTTATGCCCTATATCACAAATCTTGTGTTTTGGGATAACTAATAAGTAAAACAGGGATTACCTCAACATAAACACTGCTATACCACAGTAGTTAATCTGACAACTGTGATGACTACTAAGTAACTAAAGGGTAGGTGACATATACAGTGTGGATACACTGGACAAAGGGGTAGCTCACATCCTGGGAAGGACAGAATACACCAGTATGAGGTGCTATCAAGCTACTCAGAATTGTACGCTACTTAAAACTTATTGTTAATTTCTAGAATTTTCTACTTAAAACTTTTGGATGGTGGTTGACCATGGGTAGTTAAAACTATGCAAAGTAAAACCACGGATATTAGTAGGGGCATTGGCAGCTGCTGTGTTTCATTTAATCCTTGTAGTGATCTCACAGGAAGCTAAGGTGGATATTTTATTTATTTATTTGCCAACAACACAACTGGCATACAATTATTTAAGGTGTGTTGCAATACTATTTAGAGACAAAATTGCAACTTACGCACAGTTATTCTAATCCTTAGTCATGCTATTCCTACAAGTCAAGCTATATAACAGACCTCCTGTGTAAGGAAAAATAAAACAGATACACAAAATGTTGTCAATATTCAAGGCTACTTCCATGTTTTTTTAAAGGGAAGTACAATATATTTGTGTGATTAAGCAAGAAAAGCTGTTTAAAATGGGATATATTGTTGGATGGATTGGAATAATTAACCACGGAAAACTCTTCCAACTCTGAATGTTTGATTGTTTTGTTGTTTTTTCATTTAATAAATTTCAAAATATTGCTTCCAAAGGTATTTTTAAAAGTTTAAAACCTTACTCTACATCGGCTATTAGAAAATATTTTGTAATATTTTAATGTAATTACTAAAATTGTTATACTCAATGTATAAACATGTTAAAACTTATTCTTGCTTCTATAGTAATTTAAGCATGAAGTATTTCCCCCTTCCACAGGTGAGTGTAAGTAAATCTCAGCTAAGGGCCATTTCAGGGATTAAAATTCAGAGATTATTGACAGTCTGTTAGGTTCCAGGAACTAAGCACTTTCCAATTGTAATGACTTTCTGTTGCAGAATTCTTACTCAATGCAGCCTAATTAGTAATTAAATCTAATGTCTTTCAACTTTTTCCTATTTGCGTCATGTTCCTAACATTTAAATTAGTTCCAATATTTAAAACTGCCTTTCTCCAAGTTGACTGCCTTCCAATTACCATAGAGATATACACAAACATTCACACACATGCACATATACACATACATGGCCAGATGCTATCCAGAATCACTAACGCGGTCTTTCAACTTCCTACCTCTAGGGGTTTCTCTGCACCCATTTCAACCCTGCCAAGTTGTGGATTCCATTTTTCTGTAGTGATAAAACATAAGGTTTGCTATGATGGTCTGTTGCTCCTTCAGGGAATACTTTGAAAAAACTGCCTTTTGCTTTCAGGTTTCCTTACTTTTGATATATTGCTATTTTAACTCATTGAGGAAAAATGTTGTCAATTCCAGGTCTTTTCTTTAAAGTATTATATGAAGGAGTATAAACAGTACAGTTGGCTGGAGAGATGGCCCAGTTGCTCTTCCAGAGGCCCTGAGTTTAGTTCTCAGCACCCATATTGAGGGATTCACAACTTCCTGTAGCTCCAGCTTCCAAGGAATCCAACACCCACTTCTGGCCTCCATGGGCACCTGCACTGTTGTGTATTTACTCATACACATACATACACACACATAATTAAAAATAAAATAAGCCTTTAAAAATAGTATCAGGGCTCTACTAAATATAAATGCATTAATTTTAGTTTTCATATGAGGACACATTTCATAAAAGTCAGTGGAAAGATGACAGATTATAAAATAAGCATTGGATTCTGTCTGATTGATAGATCTAAATTCATGAAAACTATTTAACAAACAGGAATCTAGAAAAAAATAACAGTTCCTTGTTCTCAGGAAGCTAAACTGAGTCCCAGTAAAACCACTGGGAGAACATATTAACAATCAGAATACTAGCCATTTATGGATCTCCTTCTTTATATTTGTTATCTAGTTGAATTCTATAGCAGACATGCTTTATAGAATGAAGAATTAAAACTCAGGTGAAGTTATTTGGACAAAAGCACAAAACTAGTAAATATATAATGCTCTAGTGGTCGTAGGATTTACTATAATGGTGCTTTCTAGAGGGAAAACCTTTAAAATTTTAAATAATATTAATAAATGAGTCCTAACTCACAATTATAAAATAATGCATGTTTAAGTATGAACACGAAGAAAATGGAGTATTACTTGGTTTATGACTGACAGGTAGAGACTTATCAATTTAAACTGGTAATCAGATTTCATTTAAATCTTAAAGCACTATGTGGCCAGAATTTTAATCTTTTCAGACACTTTTTGGAAAGATGAACAAAAAGCCCTAGGCAATTTACTGCTACTGAATGTTTAAAAGTTCTTCTACAGAATTGTCAAGGGGTAAGGAGAATGATTTGCCTGAAGTAATGCTCAGTTCATAGGATGCCCTCTATTTAGTGCTCATTTTGGTAGAGAAAAGCAAGGAAAAGCAGTTGCATATACAAGATAAGAAATGGCTGAGTTATTAATCATCTTTCCTAAATACACAGCCTATAAGCAGCAGGTGGTATTGGAACCCCAGTATACTGACTCCATGTGGAAGGAGAAGAGTAGACATTCCAGACCCGCCCCCCCCCAAAAAAAAACCAAGGAGGAGAGGAGGAGGAGGAGGAGGAGGAGGAGGAGAAAGAGGAAGAAAAGGAAGAGGATGGAGGAGGAGGAGGAGGAGGAGGAGGAGGAAGAGGAGGAGGCCCATGTGCTGCATGCTGCTGGCATGTCTGGAAGCAGCAAGCTGGGGCACACCTGGGGAAGCTATAGGGTGTGTAGTCATTAAAGAGGCTTGCTGGAAACTGTGACTTGGCCTGTGGCTTTAAAAAGTATGAGCAGTTGAATGAATGTTTAGATCTACTTATTGAAAAGGCATCTGATAATGGATGCATGGCAAGACAGAAAACTGGTGTGAGGAAGACAAGAGAGGCCGGATAAAGAAGGCACATTCCTGAGTGGT